GTGCTCTCTTAGTCATCCAGTCGTTTACTTGGGGATTCAGGGAGACCTCGGCAGACGGGGAGAAAGCACTTTGCTTCCAGTAGAGCATGACTGCGGAAGCATAGAAGCAACGTAGTGAGATCTTAGCTTTATGTTGCTACGGGCTCACCCGGGCGCTAACCTGCCGCCGGGACTTAGAATAGACCCCAAGAGACAGTGAAGGGAAGCTCTCCAGTTACACTTAAGTCCCTGCCAGCCTCACACATTTGTGTTACATTTAGGCAGAAAACCTGCCACAGTCACTGCTGCAAAATGTGTCCTGTCTAAAAATGATCCTCCAAAGCTTTACTATACTAGGACAAGGGTCTTCTTCCAGTCTTTTGTTGCCAGTTTAGCATACTGTACAGACCACAAGATGTAATATTATTTTGTATAACTACTTAAGAAAACTCTGTAGATCTCTGTGCCTTGATTATGGCTGTACCTGTAAAAGAAATGTTTTAATTGTGCTGAACAGCTTAATATCAACATTACCTACTGCTTGCTCCAGAAAAGGGAATGAATGGTATCTGTAGAATGCAGGATCTTTTATCAGGTTGATAACTTTTTTTTTAACATACTCCTTAGTTAAAAAAAAAATACATATGTGTATATATATATATAATCTTACTCCCATAACACCCACATCTTTCCACACAGAGCTGTTGCAGCCACTTGTCTTTGCTTACCTGAGCCTCAGCTTTAAACACTGACATCAACTCAAGCGTACAAATGGTAATCTGATGTGTTTCCAGGAAGCCAAGGATTTTTTTCTCTCCAGACAATATGTTTCTTACTTATTTTGCTATTTACAGACTTTTATACATGTATCCTGAGTGGGAACAGGTCCCATACCCTTAGTCAAAGCTTTGGGACCATTCACTCAACCACAGGTTCTACTGTACAAGCAAACAGCGAGAAGAGCAGCCAAATGGTATCAACATTTGTGTCTGCTTAAGAACCCTGGTAGCACAGTTGTTAAGAGCGTAGCACAGTTGTTAAGAGCTATGGCTGCTAACCAAAAGGTCAGCAGTTCAAATCCAGCAGGTGCCCCTTGGAAACCCTATGGGATTTCTATTCTGCTCTATAGGGTAGCTATGAGTCGGAATCAACTGGACAGCAACAGGTTTGATTTTTGGTTTTGTAAAATAATTTAAGGATAGCATCTTTCATTTGTCTTTTGAAGGAGAAATATTAGAAAACATTTATTTGAAATATAAAGTCAAAATACTTGGCTATTTCTCACGCTTGAAAAAGCTATACAAACGCAGTCTCAATAGTTAGGGTAAAATATCTAGAAAGCAAGAATCTCCTCAAAGGCGAGGCTTCATGTTCTGTCCAGACCCATAGCCTTGAAGGTGTTTTCTTAGGTCCAAGGGCAGCCGGTACAGATGTCCAAAATTACATTTTCAATAGTACAGATCCAGAGAAGGGACAAATGACAGTACTTCATTAATTTGCTTTTAGTCTCTTTCATGTTTTAAAGTTTACTTTATAAATCAGCATTTTGCAAGTCCTTATAAACTCATGACTGTCTAACCAGTCCTCTCATCCTTACCTGTTTTATAAAGCTCTCAGTTGAACTGAGACATATAAAAGGGACATTATTTTCAATTCCCCTTACACTTTCAGTGTAAAACATGAAGAAAAACTGGAGACACCTCCCCCCAAAAAACTAAGTTGTGTCTTGTTATATGTATTATAACTCAACAGTTCCCCCACTTCCTTATTTAAAAGTTTGATTAAAGAAAAAGCCACTCTTAGAAAGAATAACAAGACTACATTTTATCTGC